CTGGTAGAGATTTGTACCATTTTTTTCTGGCCGCAGACTATTGGCTTCAGTCACAAAGCTTGTCACGTATACCATCAGCGGAACTGTTTTATATCACAAGGTTCTTCCCATCAGGTGACCCTTCGTTACCCTCCACGCACCATCACTACCATCAGTGGGCTAGCGACCATTTTAAGAAATTTGAGAAGAATCGGTGAAGAGAGAAGAAGATGTTTTATGCATGTTTTTGGGAAGGTAGTATAATGATTTAAGTCAAGGTTTACCATTAACTTCGCTTTTCGAAGATGTTTTTTTCCCGTTTGTTTATTCAATCATATTGGGTTTGACATAACAGGCCAACGGATATCACAGATATTCCCCCGTACTTTCTCGCCGCTTTAAATGAAATAATTCAAAGTGACAATTAAACCAAGCAATGCAACTCGGATCACGGCAGACATGGCCTGTTTGTAAGGGTAAGTCTGTGAGTTAGCGGTTAAATATAAGTTGTGGGTTTTTATCTAACATGGCGTAAACAAGTCGTCTTTCTTCAGAATCAATAATGTCAATAAAAAAGGTGAACGGAGTTCCTTAACCAAGACATGCAACGTGTTATTACAATGGTGCTAGAGATAGCTGGAAGCAGTGCCGTCAGTGCTGAGTCTGGCCATGTGGGTATAAGCATGGCCAGCTGATTATGTGATATAAAACATGTCGGGAATGGCACGTGTCCAATGCTGGTTATGTGAAAGAAATGGTCCTATTCAATTAGAATGAAAGTTAAGGATGAAGACAAGTGGAAAAATTGATGTGTTTAAATAAAAGGTTTCCTAAACGCCGAGACTAAAAGAAACTTTTGAGATTATGTAATTTGTAGACCATACACGCAGTATTTATTTGGTTTATCTGAAGGTTGTTTTGTTGGTTTAGACTTTCTCGGGAAACATGAAGTTACCATTGAATCAGATTCAGTGACATTAAAGACACAAGTAGAACAGAAGAAATTGAAAACACAACCTTCTAAGCACTCTGTTTGTTAAGTGTATTCGGCTGGAACTGTCACTGCCTGCTGGCCATGAGAGGGATATCGGGACGAAACTGGAGTCGAAAGTGAATTGGGGTAGCATCTATGATCTGATTGAGGGGATATTTGATCCCAAATTGAGGTTCCCATGCAAGAATGGCATTTGAATTGCAAGACGTGTGTGCGATTGAACAGTGGCGATGAACATCTGACTGTTTATAAGAATTCATATTAGGAACGTTAGCTACTGAGAGGGAAATTGACCTATCGCATAATGTACCCGCATATTAGACATATCAACGGTGAACTGTGTGCCGACGTCAACAAGTACAACCAACGACTCAAAGACATTTTAGAGAAAGTGGATATACAAATGTAGATTACACATATATTTAGAAAGCAGATACGAAAATGTTTCTTTGGTATAAGCCTAGAGTTTGGACTACATGGAACACCCGCAAATCAAGATGAGGCCAGGTCATTCTCTTCCACCTAACGGACAGAAGTTAAGAAACATATTAATTCATGTTTATACTCAGTCCACCGAGTACATGTTGGGCAGAAGTTTGGAGAGTGAAAGAATTTGTCTTTATCAATTTGTCTTTTTTCGTCATGAATTTCTATTCATGCGTGGATTATTGCCATTTGAATGGTTACTTAAGACAAGTTGTTTATACACCGGCTGTGTGGCTCCACCTGCTCACAGTCACTAGACGCCATTCTTGATTTAATTATATTCTGTGCGGTTGGTTTACGTAGCCTCGTGGTTGAAGACCTCGTAGCCTGTTCGTCAAGCTTATGTCTGGAGGGCGGTGGGGTAGCCGAAGACCCGCGTTCGATTCCCCACATGGGTACAATGAGTGAAGCCTATTTCTGGTGTCCCACGCCTTGATATTGCTGGAATATTGCTTAACACCCGAGGCGCTCTCTCACTTGTTCAAATTCCACAGAAAATGGATTCTAAAGAGCGGTCATTCGTTGTATTCTTAGGAATGTTCATCATTATTGTGATGGTGATGGCACGTGGCAGTTGAAGAGTATGGTAGGTGATATCCAGAGATGTTTTGGAGAGGAGATAGTTTTCAAGCACCTGAAAGTGATAGTGGACGGCTTGGGAGTGATTCAAACTCTAGCTATCATATGTTTACTGAATGTGCAATATGCAATGAAAATTTCCCCTTTGTTTTCAGAAAGTTATTTTTCATCTATATTCTAGCTGTCCAATCTCGTAATTAATGAAACCACAAAGCTACGACGCTGTGTATTTCATCAGCAAAGCAGTTGAAATCGTAAAACGTACATTTGGGGGATGGGGGGTCATTCACATTGTACATGCTTCTCCATAAAAATCATCATCCCCCCCTCCCCATAAATTATGGACGGATTAGGACAGTTCCTTTCTCATACTTCCCATTATTGAAGCGAAGAACTTTGCACAGCGTGTTGCTCAGTGCTTACTGGTGTTCATTTGTATATGTAGTGAGCGAGTTTCATTTGTCTATGCAGAACTTCTTGACTCGTGTAAGAGGTTTGGTTGGTTGTTTAACGCCGCACTCAGCAATATATATTACAGCTGTATGGCGGCGGTCTGTGAATATCGAGTCTGGACCAGACAATCCAGTGATCAACAGCATGAGCATCGATCTACGCAATTGGAATACAATGACATGTGTCAACCAAGTTAACGTGCCTGACCACCCGATCCCGTTCGTTACCTCCTACGACAAGCATGAGTTGCTCAAGATCAAGTCTAATGGGTCAGTTACCATGTAATGGCATAAAGTTCCACTGCATTGCTTAGCGATATTTACTTATCTAAAAGATCACGTAGGTCGGTCAATATTGTTAATATTCACCAAATATTTTATATCAGAGAATGAACGATTCTTTGCATGTTCTATCTTAAATGACACTCTGTGTTGACAATTTCCGTGATCTCGGCGGGGGCGAGTTGCCTCTTGTTGATGCGTAGAGGGGTCGGTTTTTGCACGTGCTTCTCAATATCAGATCAGTAATGGCCGGACGCTCCCAGATCCCTTGTTAGTCTTTGAGCCCGTGAACTGGTCGTAGAGAGATTAATACGACGTGCAGCTCAATAAGCTGCCCAGGTCGCGAGGTGAAGATGAAGCCAGATACCATCCGTCTCAATACAGGTGACAGCAAGCAGCACGACATTACAAGGGCAGAAAATGTAATAACAACATTGGGTTAGCCCGTCAACACATGGGCCAGTGTTGCCTTACACTAAGGAGATTCTTAAGCCGCCCCCGTGGTATTGAAAACGTGAAGATAGCGCCGTTCCTGTTCATGATGTCGTGTCATGCCGAGGATTGAAGGACGTCGAGACAGGAACACTACGTTCCATGTGCAGCTCGAGCATTGGTGAGTGAATTTGGTTTTACGCCGCGTTTAGCAATATTCCAGCAACATCACGGCGGGGGACACCAGAATTTGGCTTCACTCATTGTACCCATGTGGGTAATCGAACGCGGGTCTTCAGCGTGACGAGCGAATGCTTGAACCACTAGGCTACCCCACCACCCCAGTTCATGCATTAACATGTCCACGTGTACACGGCCAACATCTTTGATTGGCATTCTAGAAGTTGGGTAGATGAAGGATGAGGACTATTTTTATGGATATACAACTTCTTTATACTGTATAGGCGACGTTTCGACATAGATTCTAATGTCGTTGTCAAGCAATTAAGTGATACATGAGAAGTAATTTTGGGTCATATATATACATGAGATGTTTGGACAGTAGATGAAGCATGAGGCGAAATTGAGTTGTTTATACAATAGATGAGGTTGATAACACAGAATTAAGTAGATGGAAGCAAGTTGATGGAAGTACATGGTTGTATACATAAGGGATTAAGGATGTTGATTGGCAGCCAGAAGGGAGTGATGTACATAGGTGTATACATAGGTGATAAGGTAATGTTAGGAAGCCAGTAGTGAGGTGATGGACACAAGGGATAATGTACAATGGCTGGGTAGGGCTACATGAAAATTACATGAGGACGTCCTGTAGCCACCAGCTGTATACAGGTGTCGGGGGCTTAGTTTTACAACGAACAACACCCATGAAATATACGTGCGATTGTTGATTGAATTCCTTCACGTTCATTTACACAACACCCGCCCGCCCGATCAATTTGACACCAAAATGTTACATTCATGAAAAAATATTTTATTGAATCTGTGTCTGACATGCTAACACACTCCCTCACCACCGCCACGTTTCACGCACGGCAACACCCTCCCCCCAGGAATTATAACCTCAAGAAGGAGTAATCATGATCACAAAATTGTTTACCTGCATGCACTTGAAATCAATAAAAATGGCTCAGCCCATGTGCTTATGCTGTACAAATTGTTTAAACTGTTGGCCAACTACATTTCCACAAACCTATACTGTCATCAGGTAGTGTCTTGGTTAGGTCAAAACAAGAACATGTTCTCACAAAAATTATACAGGTAAAAACGGGGACGTGGTCGCAGAATATTTGAATTAATACCGAATCCGCCCCACTGTAACTACACGTTTAGTATGGCCCAGAGTTGGGGGCTTCAGTCTTCAACACTGGTGGTGAATGGCCTACAGAAAATGATTGACAGGGTCGCGTGAGGAATGCCAGCTTAATGTCACTGCTGATTTTGATTAAAAATACAAAACATACAACACACACTTGGAACAAACGTCACACGCGGCTAACCTGTTAGCATCCCAAATAGGGCTGCGCAATATAACTGTTTTACCGATATTTACCGGTTCAGACGTATACGTATTGAAAACGATACGTATTGCGATACGCTGATCGAAAACCGGTATTTTGACTTTCATTCGGAAAACTTCGTAACACTCGGAAATCTTCGGATATTTCGTTTTTTCATTTGTGCCAAATATTATTCACATTTTTATTTTTAATCATGAATAAATGTTGTTATCAAAACTTAATTAAGCATAGTGATTTTGCTGTGTATTTGCTCTCTCGATTTAAAGTCTTTTTTTTGTTTAAAAATACTTCATGCAATATATTGCAATACATATCGCAATACATGCTTTCGCATCGCAATATATCGCAATATGAAAATTCTCTGCAATACCCTCCCCTAAATTCCCAATCAAACACGCGCACTGGCACACACAGACACACACATGCACAAGCGCTTTAATAACATCTTGTCAAATAACATATCACAGTTCTCAAGTCCTCGTAACTGATATTCACCGCTTCACATTGTTAATTTTATGAAACATATTCCTGGGAATCTTGTCAAATAGGAGAAATCCAGCTGACCTCTCGATGGCATCTAAAGGCCAGAAGAATTGCTTGAGAGGCGTGTTCGCTGGAAGCATCTGATTGGGCATGACGTAAGACTGGAGTTCAAACTGACCAATCATATTCTCGATGACAATCACTTTAAAGAAGTGAGTGGGAACTGCCACGTGATTTTGTCCTATGACTTCGTACTTGACGTACACTTTCCCGTCAGCCTCCAGACTGAAACATAAGACACCTGCGTGACTATTACTGATTACGGGGCACAACTGCATCAACATTAATGAACAGAAACATCTATAAATAGTCACCTAACAGAGCTAAACGTATTGCAAGAGTGCAGCAGCTCATCATAGATCTGTTCTGGCATAGGCGTGTTTACTTAGCAAATGAGTGAGTGGGCTCCACTTATTGTACCCAAGAGGGGAATCGAACCGGGTCTTAACCGTGACGAGCGAGTGCTTTAAACTCGAGAAAAACCCACCGACCTTACATAGCATCTGACCATGCTACAATCTGAGTTTCATGTCCACGCTGCTGGACCAGTATTTCGGTTGCATTTCAGATTCAGCTTTTATTATCGTGTTCCCAAAGTAATGAAATTTGCAGGGGCCACCCAACTTTGGCGACACTCTGTTGACTAAAATGGGCCACAGGACTTATATACGACCTACAACACACAGACAATGCCCGCAGGAAGAAGGAATATTAGATATGCAGTCAAAAGTAGATTTATCATAAAATGGATCCTGCTTTAAACGATTTCAAATTTTCAAGAGTTAAGATTGTTTTTATTTAATGACTTCAGATTTCAAAACACAAAAGTGCATGTAAACAAAGTTCTTGGGTGACTACCTGAGTAATACATATCACTGTGGCAAAGCAAGCCTCGCAATTCCGGTAGTAGAATTGGTCCCTAATCTTTGCGAAAGAATCGAATAAAGTGAATAGATGGTCAGAGTGCTTACTGTCTCAGATCACATGTCATCGTATCCCAATAGCATAGATTGATGTTCAGGCTGACAGAGACCATATAATAGATTTGGTCTCTGATGCTGATGATCACCAGATTGTCTGGTCCAGAATCAATTATTTAAAGACCGCCGTCATACAGCTGGACTGTCGCTGCGTGTTGTTAAACAACGAACAACAAAGCCAACATTCCTCCAGCTTCGCCGCTGGTTCAACACTTCCGTGTTTCACCGCCAGTAGTGTGACTCACCGGGGAAGATAGAGGGGCCCCGTGCAGACGTACACGTTCCTGTTGTTTCTGGCCACGGCGCGGACGTACTTTTCCAGGTCGTTCCAGACGCCGCGGTTAAAGCCTTCGCCCACCTAAACACATTGAAAGGACAACTATGATGATTTACTGGCCACTGGGTATTGGACTAGTCTGCTCTAAATATCTGAATGAGTGCATCGCGTATCTGAGTGCTCGTTAAGATACTCTTATACGCACAAGGCTGTTCGTGTACAGACTACAGTCCTTTTGAGTCAGAAACGGACCGATGAATTGCAAATTTTACCATTGTACAAAATTGCCACATAAATATAAATAGTACACATGTTTATCATTTACTAATACCCAACAGCTTTCCTATATTTGAAAATTTTCCGGACTCCACCAAAACAGTTCTTTAAGAAACTATCATTAAAATTTTGACACAGTTCAGTATTTGTTACGAGGGAGGAGTGCAGAGAAAGGGACAGCCAGGTGTTCGAGAAAGGATTGAGACGGCACAGCACAGGCTAATGAATCAATAACTTGGTGGGCACTTGTGCACGTGCTTCTCTAACACCTGGCTGTCCCTTTCTCTGCACTCCATGATTGAACAGTGTGGGATAAAAATGGGTTCAAAATCGTACTAGTACTACGTACCGTACTAGTCCGCTAAGATGCCATGCCACAGTTTTAACAAGGACTCCGCTATGACACAGTTTACTGAGGTTTAAGGCAGGGTAACAAAAAGTACCATATTTTAACCTCTTTTTGGTATGTTGCGGCCGGGGATCGAACCACCACACCTTTCGATCCGGGTACACACTCTTCTACTAGACCACGAAGGCGCTCTTCATGTAAACATAAGGAGATAAGTGACAACGAATATCGAATATATCAGCGCTAGTTCAGAGCGCACACAAGTAAATGTGTTTACATCTATGTTGACAACGTTGAGTCTGACACTAAACAATAGGTCTCTTTTCCACGGGGATACTTTGTACGGATAGCTCGGAGACTTGAGTTGAGGTAGTCAGTCTCATAGTCCCTGAGCCACATTATTTTCCCTACCTTCCCTGCAATGCTAAAGTCCTAAATGAAGCAATTCTAGATTTCCCCAGGTTCAGGAATATCCCAACTCACTGGGGCTCCTTTTCAACTTAAATGGGTTTATTTGTTACTCAGTATTAACATCATACATATTCAGGAACTAAGCGTTAGTCTTGTGTTGAGGCAGCAACCCCACCTACAGTCAGACACGCTGCCTACCTGGGGTGATGTATTACTGAGGAAAAAGGTTTGGTCCAAAGCGTTCTGTGATATTCTGTGATTCTGTGCAGCCGCTAGATGTCCTTTATCATAGGGTGTTCTTCTGTAGTCATAGTTTGTAGATCTGAAATACTGGTGAATGGAGGAATCCTCCCTAAATTCAGAGTTCCGCCGATTCACCGATTCGTCGTATGCGAGATTTTGAGGCGTGAGGTGTTCGAACACCCAGTGGGCGTTCTTGTTACGTCTATCATACGACATCACATAATTATCAAACGTTCGAACTTGGTCAAATCCAGGAAAGCCGAATCTCATGATCTCCTGTGATCTATTCACGGGGATGACTGACGATGGCTTCCCTCCCGACTCTTGCACTGGGGTACCGACATCGTCGAGCTTCACAGCCAAAACAGAGGGGAACCATGGCAGAATTTTTCTCTCCTTGTTCACAGATTGTGTCCATCGTTCTAACTTTGTGCCAGCTAGAACACCAATCCCGAGAGACACTGATGAAACTATCGGAATGATACTCTTTCGGAACATTTCTGTAACATCAATTCTAAAACAAACATGAGAGTAATATTCGTAAATTGAGACAAGCGATTTCTCCTTCCGGGGAAATCCCCCTAATGCTATTCTCTATACAACATACGTTTGGCAACACTTCGGCTTCGGCGGTCTTACTTCTAATAGTGCTTCTGAACGATCGCGAGTCCCGTGTTATTCGTACACAGGATACTTGCTGCATGTTCAGTGTTCAATATATGACGGAAGGTGAGTCTATGAACGCTGTTGTCAGAAATACACGTGTAGTTTTATCATGACGTCATTTTGAACTGTCGAGTTTCGCTAGTCACTGACCATAGTCGTCTCTTCATTGCGCTCGGCCATTCCAGTTACATTCACACTCGACAGCAATTTGGTCGTCAGTAAACTGAATCGATTAGCCTTGTGACAAGCCTATAGTGAAAAGAAGGGATGCATTAATGAAATGAAGAGATACATTCAGTGAAAATACGGAATGAAAAGCACTGGATGCATTTGGTCAAACGTGATGCATTCGGAAAAGATAACCCCAAACAGGGTGTCTTTAGTAAGAAGGGGTGCAATTGTAAAAGGAAGGGATGCCTTACGTGAACAGAATGGATGCATTTACATTTAGTAATCACACAAGTGCTTCAAGAATGCAAATATTCAGCGAAGCAATTGATGTTGTGACCGTGTCAGTTTTGCTATTTGAGATACATTTGTAGTGTTTAAATACGTTTACACACAAAGGATACCCAAGTTAACCTCAATAAAACGTCTAGATTATTAATTTCCTGGGTCCGTTCATAATTCATAACAAGGGAGAGGGTGTGTGTGTGTGATAATATTAAGGGGGTGGAGATGGGGGAGCACCTATCTTGTTCTCGGGAAAGTTTGTACCCATGTAGAAGGGGATAATTGATTTTGTACATGACATGCAGAGTGGGAGGGCACTTACTTTGTACATAATTTATTTTCTTGGGTGTGTGTGGGGGTGGGTGGGGTGGGGTGCATTCACATTGTACATGCAGCTCCATAAAAATCATCATCGCCCTCCCTAGCCTTGAGTTAAGAATTGTCACTCAGTACGTTGTATAATGGAGGCTCGTGTGTGTATGCACATAATCTGTTGAAACTCGTTTCATTTTAATTTCTCATATCTTATGTAAAACAGTCAATTGTGTTTCAGTAAAAAGTAATTATATATTCCTGTATCTTGTATTAATTATCCCTTACCTGCGTGGACGACTTCAGTTGTTTAATTGTTCTGCTGTTTGTTTCAGTGCAGCCATACGTGATGGCGGAAAGTACATACACGAGGCATACCTGTGACTGATTCTTTGAGCAGCATCGTCAGACAACCCTAGTCTGTCAAACATTCCTTGAAACAAATATATCCAAGAAAGCCCATGCAAGACTAGATTTCCACAGTTTCATGAAGAAAGTCTCAGTGCTCCTTTTTCATTATTTTTATCTTTTATTATGAACTGGGTTTTTTTGTCTGTAAAATATGTTTATTTCAGAGACTAGTTGTTAGTCTAGGACACCCATTTGGAGGTGTGGTTAGCCAAACATTGCCACTATTGTAATAATTACTTGAGTTTGCTTTAACGCTGTTTTGAGCATAATTCCTTTTTACTACGTGTCAGTTTGATGTGGATAGGTCTCAGATTTTTACGCTCGAATGCAGGTACATGGCAATACATTTTGCGCTAAATAATTGTTGGTCAACTATTCGTTAGTGCCGCCATAAGCAATATTTCTTGTTTTTGTTGGGATTTTTTCATAATTTTATATGTGTTTATAGATCATCAGAGTCTCTGTGCTGGTGTTGACGAGATGTTTCCACCTTATGGGGCTGACAGATGTGTTAAAATGATTTGGGATTAGAACGTGAGAACAGAAGATTATCCTTTTTATTTTGTATACCCGACGGGTTCTGTGGGGCAAATTGTGGCGACTTCAATCGTAATCTTATTAAGGCGAACTTTCACTTGGTACATTCACCTCAATGTAACCATGACAACAATAAGGCGAAGATAATTCGTGAAGTGGCATGCGTTAGATCTGTATCACAATTTCACCAGTAATCAACATTGACAGAAATAAATAATCACAACTGCCTATTTTCACGTTATAATGCTTAGTTACCTGAAACTGGGCACGTGTTACTTTATCGTACTTCTACAGTGCAGTTCAGATTTAATCAAACGCTAAACACTTAAAACACTATACACAGAATGCATATCTCCTAAAATAATCACCTTAACTTACATTTGTATGTCTTTTATAACAAGCAACAGCCGACTGAGACTTGATGATAGTTGTCCCGACAAGCGTATCGTGACGTCAGCACCAGGAAATACCCTAATCGCCGTGGAGCATGCTCATTCGTTATAGGGGGTGTTGACGAATTATACGTGTTGAAAATAGTCGCTAATTTGAACTACCTATTACACATGGACGATAAAACTAATTCAAACCAAATATTTAACACATTTCTTCAACATCGCCCAAACATGCCCTTCTTGCCATCTTAGAAGGCACGTGACGGGTTTCGACTCACCCTTCGCAGTCAAACATGGAATGATAAATGGCCCGGATTCCCTTGAAAACCATCAAACCAACATGGCCGGCAAAGGGTAAGGTTTGGTGGGCATTCGAGTCAATATACTTCTATGTTTTGACCCTCTTAGACAACATTTAAGATATCTGGGGGTTTACTTGATCACATAGATTCACAGAAGTAAATTGAAATCAAGATAGCTGGCAAATTCATAGAAATAGATGGTAATTTGAACGCGCTCGACCTCCGATAGAACGGATTGTTCGGTATTCGTTCACAATCATCTTCTTTGTGCTGTCACAGCGAATATTCGAAGGTACAAGGCCCCCGAAATGTTGTGTGGAAGTCGAAACCATAGTAAACGTTCTAGTGTCAGACAGCTTACACGAATTTATGTTTACGTATTGAGGGAATGTAGCAAGTTAAAACGAGGTAAATGTCATCTAACAAGTTAAAGGGACTGTATGTCGGGCGTTACTAGGCATTGTTTGTTGACAAGAGCCGATACCTCCCGAGCCTACTCTGCTTTGCTCGCCTTATTTCACCAGAAAAGCACCAGGTCAACTGCACTAGTAGGCGTATCATATAAATGGACATTTCTCTTGATTTTCAACGAGTGCACGTATTCTGAATTAAGAACAAGCAGACGAAATAAAAGCCTTTCAGTGCACGTTAAATATTATAATGTGACAAAAAGGAATTACACTAGCTTCAAGGAACTCTGGATAATATAGGGATTATCCTGATGCAACCATGGCAAAAATATTTTGTTATCTCAATTTTACCATAATCCGCACACTAGTTGTGTTATTGGCTTCTTTATCTTGACCTGTTTTGTTTTGAAAATTAAATCAAGCTTGAACTGGAGGCATGTCATCCCACTCAGAAATAGTTTTATGCACTTTTAAAAAGCATAGAACTGTCAACACATTGTCCGTTTAAATGTTCAATATGCTAGTCACATTGTAAAAGTTGCTCACTCCAGTTTCTGTTTGCAAATATGATGGTTATGAGATTTGGTGTCATTCGTAGTATTCACACATCATATTTGGTGTATTTTATGACCATCACTAATTGCGAGATTCATTGAGGGAACAATCCTAAACACCCAAGTCTTGGAGAATAGCACGGTTTTGTTCTGATTCTCGAGGGGCAGTCGGGTAACCTAGTGGTTAAAGTGTTCGCTCGTCAGACCGAAGACCCGGGTTCAATTGCCCTCATGGATACTTTGTGTGAAGCCCATTTCTGGTGTCCCCTGATGTCATATTACTGGAATATTGCTAAAAGTGGCAAAAAACAATAGTCCAAAGCTCCAGATAAGATTTAGCTCGTATGGGTACTGTACCCACTGTATTTTTTTGGAGTGGGTATTATGAATGTTGAGTGGGTTTTTCAATTTTCATTAATTTCATAAATAATCACTTATCGTATACTGACAGTACAACACTTGTCCTATACTAACAGTACAACTTGATAGCAATTGATGTCTTTTTCATTACGCAAGCGATGTCTATAAATATATTCTGTACGCATTTGTTTTAAATTTTTTTCGTATCTAACATTTTAAATGCGTAATTGGTACGCAACAATTATTTTTCAATGCGTAATTGGAAATTTCTATGCATATTTTACCCGGATACGAAGCTTATCTGGGCCTCTGATAATCATTGACTCGCTCTTGATATATCTGCAAATTTTACATCCTTTCAGTGATAGTTTTTAAAAGTTTAATCACAGTACTTGCCAAGGAATTTCAAGTTTGCTGTATGAATATTTGATCTAACTAATAAACATGATAAAAAGAAAACTTGATATGGACAATGCAAAAATTAAATAAAATTGTTCCTTTGTATTGCATCCCTGCATCTTGTACCTTAAACTTCTTTGACATGATTGTTTTTTGTTTAGAGCTTCTGCCCAGGTGTACTGTCGTGAGCACCCTGATGCTGCCCTGATTGAAGACTACCATGCAGGAGATATGATCTGTCAGGAATGTGGCCTGGTGGTGGGAGATAGGTGAGTGTACACACCCTGTATTGTGTTTCAGTGTGATAGATGTTGGTATTGTGTTACAGATTGATAGATGTTGGTATTGTGTTACAGAGTGATAGATGTTGGTATTGTGTTACAGATTGATAGATGTTGGTATTGTGTTACAGAGTGATAGATGTTGGTATTGTGTTACAGAGTGATAGATGTTGGTATTGTGTTACAGGGTGATAGATGTTGGTATTGTGTTACAGAGTGATAGATGTTGGTATTGTGTTACAGATAGATGTTGGTGATAGATGTTGGTATTGTGTTACAGAGTGATAGATGTTGGTATTGTGTTACAGAGTGATAGATGTTGGTATTGTGTTATAGATGTTGGGTGTTTCAGATAGATGTTGGTATTGTGTTACAGAGTGATAGATGTTGGTATTGTGTTACAGAGTGATAGATGTTGGTATTGTGTTACAGAGTGATAGATGTTGGTATTGTGTTACAGGGTGATAGATGTTGGTATTGTGTTACAGAGTGATAGATGTTGGTATTGTGTTACAGAGTGATAGATGTTGGTATTGTGTTACAGAGTGATAGATGTTGGTATTGTGTTACAGAGTGATAGATGTTGGATCTGAGTGGAGAACCTTCAGCAATGACAAAAATACAAAAGATGCTTCTCGAGTTGGTGCAGCAGAAGTAAGTATTTCTCACTCTTGGGTCTTCCTGTTTGGTTTTGGCATGATTCTATAGGTTGTGACCTGGGTTGTATGGAACTTAAGACAACATGGGATTTTAGAAACATTTCTGTTTCTTTTCATCGTGACAAGCTTGACTTGGGTGGCCCAAAACACAAGAACATCCATTATTCCTCTGTAATACTCAGACATGCAACATGTGAAAGTGCTAGAATTCTCTTTGGAGAGTTCTGTCTTTGGCGTGTCTGAAACCTCAACTGTTTTTCTCATCCTAGATTTCTCCTGGTTATATTTTAGCTTTATTGCATCATACCTGTGCTTGTGAGTGTGCAGGCAGTGAGGTAGCCTAGTGGTTAAAGCGTTCGCTCATCACACTGAAAACCTGGGTTCGATTCTCCACATGGGTGGGTATAATGTCGTGATATTGCTAGAATATTGCTAAAAGAGGCATAAAAGTATAGTCTCACTCATTGTGACTGCACAAACACCCTTAACCCCAATGCCACCCCTACTCTTTAATAAATGACCAATCCAAAGATGGTTTCTTATTATAGTTAATCTGCCTTACCATGCCAGACTATGGGACACATGATAACCGTGACAGGCATCAACTATAGCCCAGTGTTTTGTTTTTGTGTGTTCCAGAACAGCCTGCTGGATGGAGGTGACCTGTCCACAATGATTGCAGCTGTGCCTGGTGGAGGGAAGGACATGGTGGACGAGTTTGGCAAACCTATGTACAGGAACAGGAGAACGGTAGGTGCCAGTGTTGGTCAAACATGAAACTGGGCTGGTCTTACACTGGGGATAGTATGTGTCAGTGTTGGTCAAACATGAAACAGGGCTGGTCTTACACTGGGGAGAGTAGGTGTCAATGTTGGTCAAACATGAAACTGGGCTGGTCTTACACTGGGGAGAGTAGGTGTCAGTGTTGGTCAAACATGAAACTGGGCTGGTCTTACACTGGGGAGAGTAGGTGTCAGTGTTGGTCAAACATGAAACTGGGCTGGTCTTACACTGGGGAGAGTAGGTGTCAGTGTTGGTCAAACATGAAACTGGGCTGGTCTTACACTGGGGAGAGTAGGTGTCTGTTGGTCAAACATGAAACTGGGCTGGTCTTACACTGGGGAGAGTAGGTGTCAGTGTTGGTCAAACATGAAACTGGGCTGGTCTTACACTGGGGAGAGTAGGTGTCAGTGTTGGTCAAACATGAAACTGGGCTGGTCTTACACTGGGGAGAGTAGGTGTCAGTGTTGGTCAAACATGAAACTGGGCTGGTCTTACACTGGGGAGAGTAGGTGTCAGTGTTGGTCAAAAATGAAACTGGGCTGGTCTTACACTGGGAGAGTAGGTGTCAGTGTTGGTCAAACATGAAACTGGGCTGGTCTTACACTGGGGAGAGTAGGTGTCAGTGTTGGTCAAACATGAAACTGGGCTGGTCTTACACTGGGAAGAGTAGGTGCCAGTGTTGGTCAAACATGAAACTGGGCTGGTCTTACACTTGGGAAGAGTAGGTGCCAGTGTTGGTCAAACATGAAACTAGGCTGGTCTTACTCTGGGGAGAGTAGGTTACACTCAATCTGTTGATGGGCTATACATTCTGTACAGCATTTGAAATAGCTACTGGCCCGCTAGCCAAATGCTTGCTGATTGTGAATGGGGCCAGTAATATATTGTTAAAGCTATCCCGACTGGCTAGCTGAAAATCTCAGTTTAAATTGTTCTTTATTTAACTCACATGAATATGATGAAGTTAATTATTAAGGTGTTAAAAGTCCTTCCAGTAATGTTTCATAATATTTATTATCTCTTATCACATGAAGATCACTGCAGGGCTACAGATAAGGGGTGTACAGGCGTAATGTACGCGCCTCAAAATCAATTAAGTACGACATAATATAAGATTTCAAGCGTATCGTGTACCCACATAAATACCTTTGTACGTCTAACATTTAATTTCTGTGCGTATCGTGCAAATGGAAATCTATTTCGGATAAATACTTGTCAAGTTTATTTTGCGAAACACGATTTGACACGTGAGGAAACCCCGACAGTAGGAATCACTTGCGTTGCCATGCAACGATATGCGTCACTATTTTTCGATTGGCTAAAAACTACACTGTTCCTATTTATATCCAGTCGGACCTGACATTTCACGCATCACACGGTCGCTCAGTTATTTCTCACGCATCTTCAAATACAAATACATGGTTGGAAATAGTGATCGATGAATCGTCCAGACAAACCACATCACCAACTCGCTGACACAAAAACATGTCAGTACTCCTTCAAAATTCTCAGTACACCTCCACTTGCAATATGATGTGTAAGTACACTCGCACCCCCAAAAGTTATCTGTAGCCCTGTCACTGTATAAAAAATGTTAATAGTGTTACGCAAAAGAGGTGCCAATAATTTACCATCTTCAATTACCAAACAACACATCAGTTCTGACTGATGTGCATTTCGATCTTGATATTTTGCAGGGCCAGTGAAATATGATGTGTGCTGGCAACGTTTTTACGTTGCCTGTGACTTCTCAAAATTAATTCCTACACTGGTTCTGGGCCATGTTCTTCATGGTTTTACTGGTGGGGTGTCTGTAGACAGAAAGTTGTTAAGAGGTGTTAACTTCCACTTACTGTGTTACAGCCATTACTGACCTCGACGTCACACAATACATTATTGTGTAGATGTTAACAAAGGTAGCTTGCTGTGTTTGTCCAAATTGAGTGTACAGTATTTTGTGTGTTGAACAGATGAACAGTTCTGACCGAGCCTTGCTAAATGCATTCCGTGAGATCAACCAGATGGCCGACAGACTCAACCTACCCAAGATGATAGCTGTAAGTGGATTACCTTTGTCGGTACTTTGAACTGTTGCTATGGATACAGAAAGGGATATCCCCGAAACTCGCTTATAATTCATTTATTTACTGTGCTAATTAGTAGTTTGTTTTCTCCGTCACATATGTTATTGAATGTACAATTCATCTTACATCCAACATGCTCACTGTAAAAAGTGTTAAACCCGTAATGTGTATTGACACTGTAAATATATAGCAGTGTAGTGTTAGCGGGTAAGATCGTCTGTATTCATTGGCCACTTTTAATCCATAATATACATAAATGTGCTAACACTAACCAGTTGTGTGTTGATTTTTAAGACATTTTTCTGTATTTTTACTCAGTTACTTCTATGTTTGTTGATAATCAATCTATATTCATTTCATGATTATCAGACCCGTGAAGATCCAGGTTAGAACTGATCTTCAGTAAGATATGCTTGTCATAAGAAGTGACTAACAGGATTGGGTGGTCAGGCTCGCTGACTTGGTTGCACATGTCATCGTATCCCAGTTGGTAGATTGATGCTCATGTTGTTGATCACTGGATTTTCTGGTCCAGACTCGATTATTTACACACCGCCGACATATAGCTGGAATATTGCTGAGTACGGCATATATCTAAACGTCCTCACTCACTGTACATTATCTCTCACAGTTGTGAGACATAAGTGACTTGACTGCGGAAGCTGGTAGGTGTGATGAGACAGTGGGAAATGAGCCTGCATGCTTAGCACAGTGTGGAGCGGGAAAACCTGCTTTGGAGTTTAGATAATTATTAATCAAATTTAGTATTAAATCAATAAACTATGAATTTCGCCTAGCACTCAGTATCATGGAATGAGAAAACAAAATATAAAAGCAAATAGCCCTAAAAGGCTTCCATAGCCATGCTAAATGTATTACCAAGGAAACTTATCAAGAAAAGTATTCATATGTAGTGATGAGTGCAGTAGGTTTCTGGGGTCTGATTCTGTTTGACTTGTTAAACAACTGACCATATTGCATTGTACAATGTTCTTCACCACTCACTGAGCTCCACTGTATTGTTCCCCAGGATCGAGGCAACACACTGTTCAAGCAGGTGCACGAGGGCAAGTCCTTGAAGGGCCGCAGTAACGATGCCATTGCATCTGCCTGTATGTACATAGCATGTCGACAGGAAGGGGTGCCCAGAACATTTAAAGGTATTTAGTGTGGATTGGTAACATTGGACACAAAATGAAATGTGTATTTATTGGACATTAATTGTTTCTACCGATAAAAACTCAATGAGATACTGATGAATACATGATTGTTGTGTTGTTGACCTGCTGACTACTCAAGCTTTGGAGTCCATGAACACACTAAAATTTGGTGACTTTTTACAAATTTTAACATATTTAGTTGAATACTGGACATAAAATGTTTGAATCTTCATAGCCTCATAAAACATACTGAGGTTCATGTTCATACAATGATCCAGCATTCTGGTTCATGTTCCTCATGTTATTAACACGCTCTGGTTAATGTTTCTGGTGTCATTCAACACGCTCTGGTTCATGTGGGATCGGGTGGTCAGGCTCACTGGCAGCCTTGGTTGACACATGTCATCGGTTCCCAGTTGTGCAGATCGATGCTCATGCTGTTGATCACTGGATTGTCTGGTCCAGACTTGATTATTTACAGACCGCTGCCATATTGCTGGAATATTGCTGAGTGCAGTGTAAAACTAAACTCACTCACTCACTCTAGTTCATGTTCCCCTGAAGCTATGTGACCATGCCAACATCTTGTTGGGAAAATATTTCTATGCTTTGCAATCCACACCATCCTGTTAAGAATAACCATTTCAACAATATCTTTTGGTTTGGATTAAGTTATGCAATCATCAAAACATTGGGTTCATCATTTCTGTTTGCATTTAGCTTAAAATGTTCATAATATTTCCTCTTTAATAACCAACACACATATTATCATCCTTCAGATTCAGTGTTAGATTGGAAACTGAAGAATAGGGTGCTTGTTTTTCAGAGATCTGTGCTGTATCCAAAATATCCAAGAAGGAAATCGGTCGGGTGTTCAAGCTGATCCTGAAGACCCTTGAGACAAACGTGGAACTCATCACCACGGGAGACTTCATGGTGAGTCAAGGGAGATAACTAGCCAAGTTGGAGATAAGATAAAACAGTATACAGCATTAGGGCAAGGACTTTGTGTCATTGCTTGGTACAGTGCCAAGTACTACCACCAGTATATACAGTATTAGTTATGTATGTTGTGTGTATTTGCTTTCAGTATAGATGTGGTTTGTTGTGTTGATTTGTGATGTGTATGTTTCAGTCTCGGTTCTGCTCCAACCTACAGCTGCCCTCCTCGGTGCAGAAGGGGGCGACGTATATTGCCCGCAAGGCTGTGGACATGGATCTGGTGCCAGGGTCAGTAACACAGGATACGGGGGTCACACTTCACCCACGTCTACTTGTGTTCTCCTCTTTCCACCTTTTAAAAATACCAGCAATAAATGAGTGTTTGAGAAGGGATCAAAACACATTTCTTTGATGAGAGAGAAAACACATGCCATATTAATGTGATCAGCGAGAAACCATACAAAAGATTTTTACCATGATCAGCATGAAACCACACAACATATTATCACCATGATGAAAGAGAAAACACCTGACCTGTTATTACCTTGACTTTACATATTCAATTCCAATGTCAGCTCCCTTGAGTTTAGTTGTAACCATATTAGCTGCTTGTGATACCAGACTGTATAATACCTGGAGATTTGGCTGGAACTTTGCCAAGTTGAGCTGTGTTATATTGATGTGTTTTTGTTGTTCCAGACGGAGCCCCATCTCAGTGGCCGCAGCAGCCATTTACATGGCATCACAGGCCTCCAGTGACAAGAAGTCTCAGAAGGGTAGGTTGATGGTCTCTGATTCTCTGGTGCTCAATATGAAAGACATTAACATGCTGGGAAAACTTGATGGTGCTTTGAAGCATTAATAGTACCTCCTGTCACCCAGACCATGGTGGAGTTGTGATGTTGCATGATTTCACTGTAACCCAGACGATGGTGGAGTTGTGATTTTGCATGATTTCACTGTAACCCAGACGATGGTGGAGTTGTGATGTTGCATGATTTCACTGTAACCCAGACGATGGTGGAGTTGTGATGTTGCATGATTTCACTGTAACCCAGACGATGGTGGAGTTGTGATGTTGCATGATTTCACTGTAACCCAGACGATGGTGGAGTTGTGATGTTGCATGATTTCACTGTAACCCAGACCATGGTGGAGTTGTGATGTTGCATGATTTCACTGTAACCCAGACCATGGTGGAGTTGTGATGTTGCATGATTTCACTGTAACCCAGACCATGGTGGAGTTGTGATGTTGCATGATTTCACTGTAACCCAGACCATGGTGGAGTTGTGATGTTGCATGATTTCACTGTAACCCACCTACAACCCAAGACCTCTTCCAATGATTTGTACAGCCTCACAGCCTGTTGTGGACCCATGAAGATCTGGGTTAGAATTGTTTTTAGCAACCCTTGTTTGCTGTAAGAGGTGACAAACAGGATCGGGTGGTCAGGCTTGCTGATTTGGTTGACATGTCACATCATATCCCAAATGCAGAAACCAATGCTCTTGATGTTGATCACTGGATTGTCTGGCCCAGTCTCCTTTATTTACAGACTGCTGTCATATAGCTTTATTATGGCTGAGTGCAAACAAACTAACACAGCTAGTTGTGACTTTTTAACTTAGAACACATTGCAACTTTCTCCGTCATTGTGATCTCAAATCTTTTTTGAAAGGCACATCTTTTTGCTACTGGGTGCTCATGAAGCAAAAGTTATCCCCCTTGATCCCTCCCATGTCTTTTTTTTTTCCACAAATTACTCGTTTAGTCCATTGAGAAAATGTGTGGTCTTTTGTTTACAGAAATTGGAGATATTGCTGGTGTGGCTGAGGTGACAATCCGCCAGTCATACAAGCTTATGTACCCTAAAGCACATCAACTGTTCCCAGAAGATTTCAAGTTTGCGACGCCAATAGAACAGCTTCCCATGCAGTAATCTACTGGTTACAGCTGCAGATATGCAGATGCACATGAATAGACGAATAGACTCAGGAACATGAAGAGACACTTCAACAGACAGAGAGATATACATATGAACAGCAAAAGTGACATGAACGGATACATGACACATGAACAGACACATAACGGGAACATTCTTATGATCAGCCACTGACACATTCCCAAATATTTGAACTTGAAGACAGAGACATTGGATACAAGGGGAGAGTAGAAACATGAGGGAGAAAGTGGCACAAAGTTCATGGCCAGGAAAGTTCATTCCTACAAATCTTTTCATGTCTTCATGCAGTTCACCTCTCTCCAGCCACAGAAACCTGTTTCTAAATGTGTCCTCCAATCTGGTCAACACGTACGAGGAGAAGCTTTGTCCTGCTGCTGTGTCATGTGCCCTCCATGAGGACTGAATGGATCATGATGTAACATGCCTCAGGTGAAGGGCGTTGCAGCTCACAGTAGTTCTGGATTAATTATCTATTATCACTTGAACATATCCAGCGTGATCAGCTACTGAAAGGTTCTTCTGTGTTAAAGTGTGTTGTGTCAGTTGTGTGATGTTAGAGTAAGGAGGCAGGGTTGTCTAAGGCACATCAAGCTGTGGGGTATGGTAGCTGAATGATTTAATGTGTCAAGCTGTTGATGGTATGGTAGCTGAATGGTCAGAGGCAGCCCATCAAGCTGGGGGTCGAGCGTAGCAACTGACTGATGGTACATCTGTATTGCTGTGGGGGTATGGGAGCCCAGTGGTCTGAGATAGGATGGAAAACAGGATCCCATTAATGAGCTGTGGGCCCCATTAGTTTAGCTATGTCTAAGGACCATTGATTCTTGATCCCATTAGTTTAAGTTGCAGGTACTGTTCAGAGATGAAAGTCTTACATTCATGTCAATTATAAGCCTTGGTCTGTCAGCACTATTTAAGCTTGAGGGCTATGACCCATATCCCTTTCCCATCATATCAACCTGGGTGCCGTTGTACAAAGGGAACTTAGTGTTAAGGTGATCGTATATACTTTAACATAGACATAAGACAGTCGTAGCTCAAAGGTTGTTTTGTACAATGGCATCCTGATCTGCCTTGATACAATACCAAAGACAGCAGCATGAGATGTTTGGTATATTTCTGGAATTCTGATAAATTGATGAGGTTATGCACCTCTCTGTAATACTGCAGGTTGAAATTATTTTTCTTTATTGAAGTTAAGATGCTTTTAGTTTTACATGTGCATAAAATATGCTAGTCAGTAGTGTAGATCTATCATTGATGTATATACTGTGCAACCTCTGTCGTCTCCATGTTGTCTGCTGTGTTTGTTTGTTGTCCTTTGTTGTATGCTGTGTTCATGTAGTCCTTTGGTGTATTTTGTGTCCTTGGTAGTCGAATGATGTAATCAATGCTAAGTTGTGTTCTACAACTTCCTACACTCTACGCATTGTACTACAGAATGCCACATCGTGTTTTATTACTTGCTTCATTGTGTTGTACTGCAACAAGCTAAGTTGTACACTTGTACAACTCTCTAGCATGGTCAAAATGTTCTGTGGCACCACACTGCATTGTGTTTTGAATGAATAAGTTCGGTTTAATGCTGTTTTAACAGAACATCAGTTTTATCATCTGTGTCCACTTGGTGTTGGAGGAAGTGAAGTGATGCTGGTGGAACACATGAACCACTCCACAAATCTGTAACAGCAGTGAATCTACAACTACATTTAGTTAAGTTTTACGCAGCTTTTAGCAATATTCCAGCAATATCACGGCAGGGGATACCAGAAATGGGCTTCACACATTGTATCCATGTAAGGAATCGAACCCAGTCTTCGGCATGACAAGCAAACTCTTTAACCACTAGGCTACCCCAACGCCCCTACAACTGCAGCAATGTCAGTCAGAACTCCAGATTGCCTTAGACAACCTGTACCCCTAAAATACCTTGTATTACAACATGCTGTATCTTGTACTCACACGTGCTACTTTGTGTTGTACTGTGCTATTCGGCCTTTTCAACATGTTTTCTGACAATGTACTGTAAGTTCAATTGTTGTACAGATACAATCTCACTTTGCATTCATATGCCATGTTGTATTAAGTGTCCTTTTGTTACAATCTCTGATTCTTGTTTCACACAAGATGTAATATCACAGCAAATGACATATTTGCTCCTGTTCATTTTCTGAGAATACTTTTAGGTTCTTGTACAACATGCCGATTCACAACTATCGTCACCTAGATATGTTTTTGTGAGTCACATAGTTGGAAAACGCCTGTCAGTGTTACAGTATTGTCACAAACAACACAACTGCATCATCAGGTACATATATACCTTCTGGCAAAACATACTGATTTTAAGTGGAATGTTAGTATGACAGTTCAGCTGATATATCGTGGAACATGTATTATTTATGTACATGAACAAACCAAACTTTGAACCTATCAGATTTTGTATAAATGTTTTTATTAATATGTTTGTTGTTGTTACTGTAAATATTTGAAATAAAGTATTTACGCTCAACAGTATTGTTACAATGCCTGAGCATGTTATGCATTTAGGTGTGATTTCAGTGATGGCCATATTCTAGCTGCTACCTTCTAAGATAGAAAGATAGATAGATAGATATGGCATGACTCAGTATAGGTCCCAAGCATTAGAGTGGAATACGATGACAAAAGATCTTATTCCCGTGGGCACAATAAGTTGACACCTTGTCATAGCTGAATAAGGTGGGAATTGGTCACCAACCCCATATTCTTGTGAGCGCCGAATAACGTAAGCGTAGGTCCCAGATATCATGTTCTTTTGGTAGTGCAATAAGTTGAGGATAATTGCAAATTTCTTTTTCTATTAAAAAAGCGTTGGTGCTAGATTTTACTTTGAGCATCGGTCGTTAATGAATAGTGTGATTGGAAATTATATGACGTGATATGACGCCACAAGGTGCCCGTCTGACAGCAATGGAACACAATCTAAGGGAAACCACCCTCACCAAAACCGTGAAATTAACTGCCCTTGACATGTAAAGTCACGGTCGGATATTTCAAAGGTTTATCGACATGCCATTTGTCAACACTCGTCCCTTTCCCTAACCTGGAATATCACGAATTGGTCACGACAATCTTTACAAGATATAACTTCAAAATTCAATGAGTGTAGGGAAAAGACATTGTGTGAAAAAACAATTCGGAGGAAATTATCCCAACTGGGATTTAAAAGACGAGCTGCAAAAAAGGAGATGGTCGTTCGAGAGGTGAATAAGCAAAAACATGTTCAGTGGTGCAGGGATAGAAAGGATTGGACTGTCAATCAAAAGTGGAATAAATTCATCTTTTCTGATGAAAGCCAGATAGTGATTGGGACGAATAACCGTGTCTACCTGTGGCGAAAGGACGGAGGAGCCCCCACGTTATTTGCAGGGAGACTATGCCTTCCAGGATGACAATGCCCCGGTATATCGAACCCGCTTGGTAACTACCTACATGTTTGATAACGATGTAATAACCACATACTGGCCAGCAAAATCCCATTATATCAACATAATGGAAAATATGTGGCTCGTGATAAAGCGAGACCTGCAACCTATTGCTGCCAGGATATCAAACCGCGATGAACTTTTCAGTGAAATACTACTATACGTCTCTGGCAAAACGTTGACATGGAGACAGTTCTTGGATTGTACCACATACTTCCGGCTAGAATTCGAGAAGTAATCACAATGAAGGGTCATCTGACAAAATATTAAGGTATGTCATTTATTTTTTGTTGAGAAAACGCCTTTTTTTAAACGCATAAAATGTAAACAAAGTTCCACCAAGTTGACAGTGACGAATACTGATGTCCCACGACTGTACACAGTTAATGGTTAGCTGTAGTGTTGATCAGACGGTATTAAAGTCCACATCTGGCTAACCAAAGACGTATATATATATATACACGTCTTTAGGCTGACAAAGTCTTACATTATGGTTTTGAATTGCTTAATGTACTGAAATTAACATGGTGCTACATTTAGAAAGGGATATCCCAGTTTTGACCAAGACCTTTTGGCTTAGCCCTCTCATTGCCCATATATATGCATGACGTTTACGCATGCAATGCCCGTTACTTGTCTTTTCGTCAGTTTTCTTCTCATCGTCTTTTGATGTAGGAGCAGACGATCGTTCTTCCGGAAGAGCAAAGTTTCCCTTTCAAGGCATGCGCATAAAAGTTGCTGTTACGATAGGCGACTTGAGAAAACAACATGGATATAATATTTTGTTCGGTATTAATTAGCCGCTTGCATGTGGTATTTTCAAGGAGAGACTTTTAAGCTTTTATATATTGATCTTCCTTTGTATCATCCTAAGTTACTTATATTTCACAAGATCTGATGTTTTATGATGCTTTGTCTGATGGAGTGCTGAATTAATTAGAATCATGGACACAATTAAGGTCACCTCCTGACCCAAGAAAGGAAGTTATTGTGTACTATTTTCTGTTCAAGAAATGTCTGATGTAAGATGTGTCCAAAGATGAAAATATTGAACATATATTTCATCCTACAATGAATTTGGTCTTAATATTCATGAATGAGGTAGAAAACCTATGGGTTGATAGTGTTGTTTTTTCCCCGTCATTGTAAGATGGATGTCTGTGAAATTCAAAACTTTCCAAAATCCGTGGTAGATATATATTACCCGTGCTATATATGCAACACTTGCTTGTGGCTCGGAGGCACTGTTCAGTGTACGTTTTTTGACAGTGGTCTTTATTGTGCGAGATTTCATACATGAAAGGCTTTTCAACGTTTGGTGTTGCAAATAGTATCTTTTCTACTGTGTTGAACAGTGACACGACACCAGTGAGTGAGTGAGTGAGTTTGGTTTTACGCCGCTTTTAGCAATATTCCAGCAATATCACGACGGGGGACACCAGAAATGGGCTTCACACATTTTGCCCATGTGGGGAATCGAACCCGTGTCTTCGGCGTGACGAGCGAACGCTTTAACCACTAGGCTACCCCACCGCCATCTGATACGACACCAAGAAACGACACCGAGAAGGATCTGTTTTCAGCTTTACTGACAAACAGGCACGTGGACTCTATGGGGCAATCTTTACCATTGGCGGAAGTGAACATCCACTTATCGGATGGCGCTTCATCCCTTTTGGAGACCACGTACCCTGACCACGTAATTCTCTTTTGATTCGTGACATACTTGGTCAACATTCTCGTAGAGCCTGAAGAGGAATGATTATTATTAGTTGTTTGTGAAATTCGTTGTCACTAGTGATGAAGTGGATTGCCACACTCGGCAACAGAAGCTAACAGAATGGTGGCTGGGTGAAGGTGTATGGAAATGTGCTGCACGTCTGCCGAAGGAATTGTATATTTATGTACCGTTGGTCGTGTAAGCATTGGATTATAGTTGCCTGTCGAGAAGATCATTGTCTGATCTAAACATATCAATATCTGAACATAAAATCGCCATACTTTTATGCACATAGGTTTTCAGGCCTGATCTATTTTATGTTAATGTCTCCACCACAGACTTCACAGGGTCATTTATTCCATTTAGATTGAAGCGTGTGAATTATCATTTGCTAAAAATATTAATTTGTGTCATTTCTTAAATAAAACTGTACATAATTGTGCATATGAACAAGGCTATTGATCAGGTGATTGAAACATAATTTGGAGTTATCTCCCTTGAACCACAGACGGTCTCGTTTGATGTTATCGAACGACAGTGAGGCCAAGCAGACTTGGTCAATATAATATGCTACATTGTCACATACCCTTTTGATGTATATATGATCCTATTTTCACTACATATTATCCACAGGCAAACTTGAATATTGACCAAGCGTTACGGTACCTTGGAACATTTTAAAGCGGCGACATTGGATTGGCGACAGTAATCTAAATCCTCATAGATCAATTTCAGTCGTAAATCCGTTCGACGCCGGCCAAAGTCCTCAGGTGGAAATAATCGGACAAATTTTATTAAGTTGTGAAACAACACACATTTAACTCTTGCTGTGTGTATATTAATTATGTTATATAACATTAATATATTTTGATCAATCGTTTGATTTTGAGATTTACATTAAAAAATAAGTATATATATAAAAAAAAGAATTGTTTAGGTTTCAGGTAACATTGACTTTTGAAGGATGCATTCGATTCAATTACATAGTTTTAATTATTTGTGGATAACACCAAATTAGTATTGATGGTATATTACATTTTACAGTAACAATTTTAACTCTTTAATTGACTTGATCCTGAAGATACTTACTAAAGATATTAGATTTGTAGAGATTTTGTGTTTTCACAATAATAATTAGAATTTTCGTTTGATATTCTTTGCTGAATATTTGGAAAATATCGTTTTTGAATGGTAGCTTGTAATAATTGTTTCTCCTTTGAGGACCAAAACATGACATCATAGATGTTTGTCAAACATGGAAGCTGCCTATTCTGGGCTACACATGATGATCTTGAGTTGTTCTGAGACGGTATGGTAGCAAAGGTGTAAATAAAGTATTATTAGCAGTTGGTGATGCTATTAAAACAATTACGGGACATACTCTTCACGGTGAATGTTGTTGAAATTATTGTAATCCACAGCAAATTAAGAAATTCAGCAGCAGTAGGACTGACAGGTGTAGGATTTTACTTTCACTGGATACCAATTTTCATTATAAACATCAGTGCATGTTCTGTGCTGGGACTATTAATCTACATGACGAGAAAAAAGGTCTTGATTATTCTGCTAAAAGATATGATTTGGTAACAAACAGGATAGAGCTGGTCACCTGATGCACAAACTGGGCTCAGCTGCACTTGTTATGTACATGCAGCAGGTAGAGTCTACCATCAGACATGCTGACTGACTGAGTTTGGTTTTACGCCGCTTTTGTGGCTCTTTTTTGAAAGCTTATCATATGTACATTCAAAATCCAGGTGTTTGCAGGCTGGGTGCGGGGATTTTTCCCGCCGTGACCCCCCATAAGGGGTCAAGGTGGGAAAAATTTGGGAAAATTAGTTTTTGCTTTTTTCACAAAATACATTCTAATAACTGCTTTCTATCACGAACTATACAAATATTTAAGGTTTATTGATTAGTTACAGGTACAGGAAGACATTTACTTTGAAAAATGCATTGCGTCTAAGGGAAAAAAGTAAACTTTATAGCTGTTTTTCTACGCTTTCTAGTGGGCAATTGTTTTAAGAAGGTATTCTTGTTTCAATAGCTCTAAAATGATCAACATTAATGTTACAGCTATACTTAAAGCATGAAATGACTTTGAGATGATTTATTGTAGTCTGGCTGCTGGGGATTTTTCATGCCCTGACCCCCCACGAGGGTGTGTGTGTGTGTTCCACCTATATCAGCCCATGGACTATGACAATTTGAGGACAGAAACTGACTGTTAATGGAATATTGGAATCAAACTTCATATGATATGTCGTAAAACATGCATCATACAAGTACATGAATGAACTATAACATTGACCTTTGTTATTTTGTATAAATGGTATTGTCATTGTAAATCTTTGAAAGGAATATTTATACCCATGATGTTTGTTATATTTTGAAGATGTTAAGCTATCTGCTTTTCGGTATTACATTCAAGCTACCAACACGATGACAGCGATATTGTCAAATGTCTAATCTGTTCAGTATCAATAAGTGATCAATAACATGATGTACGTAACTACTGTCAGCCCAATCCTGCCTCAGGTGCTAATGCTCTAGATATTCTTGTCTCCGAGAAACGCATGGTATGTATGATCTTTTCTCATTGGATAACTTCACTGTCGGCAGTAAGTCTAGATCAGCCGAGGTTTTTCAACTAACCAATACACAACAATGTGAGCATGAAGTGCTAATCGTGAGCTGTTGCTACATTGTGACTTTATACTGCTTCTGGTTCGGTGTTGCAGGTTCTCATGTTAAGTCAGGTTACCCATCACTCTCACCCTTTGACAGTCCAGTCGTGGAAGAAGCGCATCTTAAATCCATTCAAAGATCACCGTTCCTTTCATTTCTCTGTGGGACCGCCTCCGTGGTGTAGTGGTTGGAGCGTCCGCCCGGAGAGCGGAAGGTCGCGGGTTCGATCCCCGACCGCGTCATACCAAAAGACGTTAAAATATGGTACTTGTTGGTCCCTGCCTGGCGCTCGGCATTAATGGGTACAACAAGGACTGGTCGGCTCGGAGTCAGTATAATGTGTCTGAGTGGGGTATTCATGCTTCACTGCGGCATGGTATCTTAGTGGGCAAGCACTATAAAACCAGCTTCAGTCTGGGCTAGTACAAGCAGTCGCACATACACATACACACGCATGCACGTCGTCATATGAGCGAAATATTCTCAAGCACGACGTTAAACCCAATTTCACCTCACCTCATTTCTCTGTTGTAATCGCCCTCCGATTTCATGGTCTCACATGTCAGTTCACAGCCGACTGTAAGACATTCAGTGCGAGTGGCAACGTGCACGTCAGTACGAGATGGCAGTAGGACTATGCTAGTCGTAAGAGGCAACTAACGGGATCGGGTGGTCAAGCTTGCCGACTGGTTTGACACATGTCATCGGTTCCCAATTGCGCAGATCGATGTTCATGTTATTGATCCCTGGATTGTCTGGTCCAGACTCGATTATTTACAGACCGTCACCATATAGCTGGAATATTGCTGAGTGCGGCGTAAAAACTAAACTCACTCATTCCATTTAAGAGACTACTTAGATATTATTGCATATTCTAGTAGATCCTTAAACTATTTCGGAGCTTTGTCACGGTGCTTAATTGACAAGGCCCTACACTAGTGTGAATGGAAAATCAAGTTCCGTGCGAGTTTTCGGATATTAACCGGCGTTAGTATGAAGGAGAAGAGTTGTGTACATTCCCTACAGCCATATAAACATCTGCAAGCCACCATGTAAAGCATGAACTATAAGGGTAGTTAAACATCATATTGCAGCGACATCCCGGCTTTATTATGGCAGGGTACGAATTTCTCGGCCGCCCGTTATTTTGTATGATATATTTCTGATCGGCGGCCATGGTTTTGTTCCTTATTGCCGTGTTTCTGTTGTGGTAAACTATCGTTAATATGTGGTGTGGGGCTTGAATACTTCAGTACTACAGTTGAAAAACCACGAATCACCTTTACACATCCTCCTGGTCCTGACCCACGTGCAGTAGAAACCGGAATAGCCGGAATATTATTAGCTACAGCTGAAAACAATGTTTGCTCGCTAAATTATTAACAAAGAAACGATACAAAATGATGTTCATTTAAGTGGTTTATTGAGCATGTGTTCCATCTCTTGGCAAATAACCCACGTCCCTGTAACGAAAACAAACATGTATTACATGCAGTGAAAAGATGTTGGACATTATTTTGGTTCAGGAATAACCACAGTAGCACATAAAACAATAAATAGTTTTAGATGAAGCAAAATTCGTCTGGTAAAGCTGTTGTACATTAATTACTCCAGAGATAATTACTAGCATGGCTTTGGGCAAGATATTAATCCACTCTCATTACCCAAAAGATGACAAAGGTATCGGAACTCCTACTTTAACCAAGATCTCAAGTGGTAAGGGTTATGCTTTTGTAATGATCTTTGTAGGAAACTACATAGAGATGTGGGGATATTGGGTCTATTTTGTGACTGAAAGAACCGTACGTGTAAATGCAGGTACTTACTATCACAGTAATCATTCAGTGTTGTCAAAAAGATAATTAGATAAGCCATTAGAATATTTGAAAGAAGGCTACCTTGTTATTTGGCAGTATGATGTAAAAATGTTCAAAGTGAAATTGATTGTATCGGTTGACATTCAGTAGGGGCAGTGGCGTGCTCTATATTTAGACTTCTGCTAGATTTAGACAGACAGATCTGTCAAGTGCTGCAAAGAGCCTATAAGGGGAGCTGACTCTTGCTTATCCCATCGCATTATATTTCAAGTTACAAGAAGACCAGCTAATACTTGCTTATTTGGATTGATTTGGCAGGGGGAAAATACTTAAAATCTTTGAAAACAGGACATTCTCTGTAGAAGAAGCTGACAAGGTTTCACTTTCCTACTATTTCAAGGATTGTTTCCTATGATGAAAATTGAGGCCGCTAGTTTGGCTCATAACATTCTTTTGGTCAGTCATTTTGATGGGAGCAAAACTTGCGCAGTAATGTGATTGTTTGAGACACCACAACAATACCATCCGCACAATTGAAACCGCTTCCACCTATTGAAGAGAACGTCAACAGGTCATCACTGACTATGTTGATCCTTTCCCTACGTCAACAGGTCATCACTGACTATGTTGATCCTTTCCCTACGTCAACAGGTCATCACTGACTATGTTGATCCTTTCCCTAAAACTATGTCAGTACATGCATGCTAACCGTTATGTTTGCTTTCAGAAAAGGCATCAATTAGGCATACTCAGGTTATACTAAGTCTAGTGCATATCATCCTGAATCTCAGAGAGCTCCAGAGAGACTCTCCAGAATATCACATGGACCTATGTTTTGAGACTGAGAAGGAATGGGATCAGGGTATTCATTTATTTGTTGTTGGGTCAGTTCAAGAATCATAAGGTCCCAGTCCTTTTGATGGGTACAATGTGTGAAGCCCATTTCTGGTGTCTCCCGCCGTGATATTGCTGTAAAATTGCTAAGAGGGAACTCTCTCACTCATTCAGTCATTTTAACATTACAATTTGGGGACTTTTAAAAATACCCGAAGGAGCAATGGCTTAATGATAGGTCTGAAGACATGATTTACATTTATGTAAACATATCTCAAATGTTATGTTTGTTGTTATTATTATGAACTATACCTAGACGTTTTTTACTATTGTCCTTTGACACGGCTCAAAGAAAGTGGGCCTTATTATTTTCAGGCTAGGTCTGAGGTTAACCAGAAACTGTTTTCAAATCATTCTGAGACATATAGTATTTTTGAAAACAAAGCATCCATCGGCAGATATTTCATCAGATGTGTTTAAGATTTCTTCATCCCCATATCCTTCAAACTGAGACCTTCCATGTTGGGCAAGAAGTCACATTACCAAAGGGGAGAAGCGCAATATTGCCAAATAAGCCAATCTTTAAGCTGACACCATATTTTAAAATTACTTTGTTGATGTTATAAGTCGATTCAATTCCAAAAATGATGGGGATTAAAAGAATTCTAGCCCCACGTGTGCCAAACAACGAGGGCAACGTCTCCCTGAAAAACAGCCTTACCCCAATTGTGTAGGAATACATTCAAAGGTTTTGGTGAATCGGTTTTCAAATTGCGACCGTATATGCTGATTATACGGTCGGAAATTTATAGCATTGACCAATCGGAACTCGTGTTACATGCTAAGTTGAATTAGAATTATGGATACACGACCCCTGGTGATGTATAGGATCCGATAAATGGGAAACATATTTATGTTATCTAAAATATGTGATAACACTCCTACCTAGTTCTGAATTTCTTCAGGGAGGAAGACGAAGTCTATCTTGAAACCGTCTCCATTTACGGATCCATCGCTTGTGAAGGTGAACTGGAAATGACCATCAGTACCTGCGAAAATAGAAATACCGATTAAAAAACAGCGTGTGGTGGAATCGGTATGATACAAGAAAGAATTTCGAAGAGTATACTCTGTTTGGAAAGAGAAAACGTGCGAGAATCACAGGCTATCTGTTAAAACAACACATACCGATTGAAGAAACATCTTCAGACATTACCCGGGAAAACAGGTGTCAAGAGCGTATGTAATTTTCCCGTGACATCGGTTTACTAACTGTGACGTCCCGCCCCGTTCTGAATATATGCCGTGCTTTGTACATGTATCCAAGGACGTATATTTGTCTTTGATGTATCCAATACAATGTGTGTCCAGTAATGGAAGGCGAAGGAAGACTGGTCTTAACATCAGTTATAACATAGTGACGTAATGTCCCGTTCAGATTATATATCGCACTTTGGCCATGTACACAACCCACTATGTGTCCAGTAATGACATGCGACAAAAACTCTCCTGCGAAGAAAGACTGGTTTTAACATATTAACGTTATGGGTAATATGTGTGGACTACTCACTGTAGGTCTTGTCTTCCACGTTTGTTCCACACAGCTTGTCTCCTCCCATCTCCACGGCGTCGTATCGGCATCTGGTGCCTCTCTCAACGTCAAACAGTGGGAAGCTGAAGACAAGTTCTCCAGGACCAGGGGTGGTGATGTTGTAGGTGCAGTTCATGTTGTTCTCGTAGCCACCAGGCTGGGACTCAAAGGTACCGGACGTGGCGTTCAAAGTTGCATTGCAGTAGACTGGAATAAGTGTGTAGCAAGTGATTCACTGAATTTCGCTGCCTAGTAAAACATTTTTTGATGTAATAGACAATTCAGATGTGGAATTGAGGTAATGCACACGTGCACCTAAGATAACAAACGTATAAGATTACATACCTAGTTCAGTGACATAGTTAAAGGAGAAACCGCTGCGCACAACACTTCCGTCACTGGTAAATGTCATGTTAATTGTAGGATCGGTGTCTGCAAAACAGTAAAACATATAGGTAATACAAGACACAGAAACTCCACAATACTGTTTTCACTGTTGTATTCTCCCTTAATGCCCTCTATAAGCATCAGAGAAGTATTACTTAATAATAAATTGCAAGGATAAGTATATAAAAATTGTTCAGGAAACACAAAAATCAACACACAATGTTAGTTCGATTTCATTTATGAATTTGGAAAATGATTAACTGCGGTTAATTAATAGGCATAACAAGACTATCTTACATTGTCTGGTAAAGGGCTCTTTCGCTCCGCACAGGTTCTCAGAACCCTCGTTACTTGTTATATTTAACTTGTCATAGTCGCAACCCGCATCGTCCTCGATGTCAAAACGAGTAAAGTTGACAGTGGTGATGTGAGGGGTGGAGGGAGAGCGGATAGTGATGTTACAGTGTTGGTTGTTTTCATATTGTCCGTCGGAATCAGTGGGCAGGGTATAGGTGCCCTCAAGATCATCACTGTCGAAGTTGCAGTCTGAAATGCCACATGAAATGTGATGAGAAAATATAGTTCTTCATTTGATACTTGAACTTGATCCTGAACGAAGAGAGATATGCGAAGCGTTTTCCTCTTTCCCCCTCTTCTACCCATCATGTGTTGTGTTTTGTAAAGCAAAATCTATTGGATCCGAATCTCAGCTCATCATAATTATACATAAACAATGTCATTTTGTAATCCCAAATACAGCATATGTTATATCCTCACTTATTTGTGATTATATCGTGTTAGTGACATGAAAAACTCCACACAGATTGGTGGTCTATTTAGGTTGTACATATCGGCATTGACACAGAGCGTATGTGACACTGATAACATGATAAGATAGTAATCTACATTTACCTTATCAGTAAGCAAATGTGAAATACATTCTTATTTTATGAGATACAAAGATAATATTTGAAATATAAAATATCAAAATGGCACTTGTGGCAAACAGTAAAAGCTTATGAAACAAGGATTGTTTACTGTATCTATGATAATCTGCGTTATGTTTTGTTTCAGACATCAGCTTCATGTATGGCTAATGAATTACACATCCAAGGAATACTTACGCTCTTCAATACTGAACAAAGCCACAAAACCCCTTCCTGTAACACTGCTGTCACTTCTGAAGCGAATTATGGCTGATCCACCTTGTACTGACACTGAAGGAAAGCCAAAACAAAATCAGAGCCACAAGAAAGGATCAAGCTGTATTAAAGTAAATATAGACGAATATTTCCGTTTTCGCGGTTTCCAATGAGGAATCCCTTTTTATAGGTGTGACGTTTTACTATTATGATATTTACACATACTTTTGATTTTAATGCCACTAACTTCACTGATACATAATATTTATATAGAATGCTAATAGCTCTCTGTAGACGCATACCTCTGGTTGCGTTGGGCAAATCACTTCCACAGTATTTATCCTCTCCAACCTGGACATAGTCGTAGCGGCAGTTGCTTGACGACTCTGTGTCGAGGGCGGTGAAGTTGATGTTCAGATAGAAGGGGGTGTTGCGAGTGAACACATACGAGCAGTCCATGTTGTTGGGGTAGTTGCTGCCGGTTCCCGGGAGACTTTGGATAGCGCCCTCCGAGATGTTGGTGTTGATGTACGCACATTCGCCATTAATCAAGGATGGAAGACCGCCTGTTTGGCAGAAATAGTGAAACATTGCACATATATTGAAACGTTGCTATTGAGCAGTAAATTTCGACATTGTATTTTAAATTAGTTAGTTAAATTGATACCATTTGTTTTTTCAATTGGCATCTGAATCAACATCAATTGCCATTTTATTTAATGTTAATGATGATTCTGCTTTTGGGTAAGTGTTCACCAGATGCATTTGGCTTTAATGTCACAGAATGGCATAAAGCATCGTTGATGCCCCGCGCAAATGCCAGTACACGTGGACTTAGCTTACTTGGTTGGATGGTGTAGGTGGCGTTGTATCCCAATCCTGTCTGACTGGAGTCAGAAGAAAACGTCACTGTGGCGTTACCTCCATTTGACTTGTCTAAAAATCAGCACATTGCTGTATTAAACATAACTAAGAGTGCAGTTCAGTGGGGTATTTTATTTAAAATTTTCAAATATGCTTAACGTATGTTCAACACTCTTTGCGCTTGACACATGTCTCTTCCTTACGGTGAAGATTTACAGGAGTGAAGAGTGAAATTTCTGAACGCCAGATGCAATTTTGTGACGATCATTTCAGTACTTTGATGTCGCAGACTACAGCCTGTGCATCTTCCCAAATATCACACTCAGCCACCCCAACTAACAAGTTGCCAAGGGACATTACTAGTCCTTGTGATGAGTGAGTGAGTGAGTTTATATTTAACGTCACATCGGCAATATCTCAGCTAAATCGTGACGAAAACAATTTATATAATACAAAAATGAAAACATTGTGAAGAGTTAAACCTGTCGACGATGGACAGTAAAAATACTAGAGTATCACAGATATGAACATAAAACTAGCATGTAAAACTAAAACAGTGAACCCTTGTGATGAAACGTACAATGTCAATATTCTGTAAGTAGGCAATTCTGAAAGTGACTTACACATGCATTGTCAGCTACGTTTTATTTTCTTCTTTTGTAATGTTGATACTGTACATAATGCATATGTCACTTGGATGTAACAATGACACGTTTCTAAAGACACTGGTGTAGGGACAGTGAGATGTAAGATGTGGCTAAACATTAATCTGCAACTTACACTCCACTGTTCTGTTTCTCCAGCTTGATCCACATCCCTTCTGGCTGCTACTCAGGCCCGTATCCACCTCCAGATAGTCGTATCTACAGTTAGATGAGGACTCGAGGTCAAACGTTGTGAAGTTGACGACCAAGGTGTATGGAGTATTGGGGCCTGTGATAACAGTGACACAGTTCTCGTTGTTGGCGTAGCTGCCGTTGCCGGGGCTTGTCAGGGTGCCATTATCTGATGTCAGGACTTGGTTGCAGGTTTCTGTCATTAAGAGACAGCAGACGAAAATTGTTACATCAGTGTGTGCGTGCGCTGGGTTTGACGCTGTTTTGAACAGTACTGCAAGTCTTAGTCTATCATATTATACTGATAATACATACTGTATTTTGGAGACATTTTGTACAGAAATAAAAGAACATATATCAGGAGAATCATTATTGGTGACTACTTGTGAAGTCATGAACAGACAAAGTAAGATCCAGTGTGTCATGGAGTCACCGGCTTCTCTGGCTATCATTCCAAACGGGCTGAACACACAAACAGACCAAGGCTGTCACTCCAAGGCATGCTAAGACTCACCAGGCTCAGTGGGTGATGTCGTGATAGGGGGAATGGTCTGTTCAGTTGTCACTGAAAAGTAATGTCAAACAGGCACTTGTGCAGGTATGAAACAATATCAAAACACATTATTATTTGAAAGTCTTATCTAGCTGTTAAATCCATTTCAGCGATGACATAGAAATCCAGCTAGGTATTTATATGTGTCTTTGTTTTCCGTCTTTAATGCAAAATACATCCAATAAAATGTTGCATATGTGTCGATATCCCTCACGAGGATACTGGGCTCAATGTGACGATGAGAATACGTTGGTTCTCATTATGAAAACAAAGACTGAAACCCAAAACATAAGACCCACCGCTTCTAGTTACAGTGAAGCATATCACCACATTGCGGATTCCGCATTCGATCCAGTACTTGCAGCCACATTGCTGATTCATTTCCCAAAACCCAGGTTGACATATTGGTGATTCATTGCACGACTCAACGCCATGGTGGGCGTATTGGTGATTCATAAGACACTGTTGGAATATTGCTAATATACACAAAGGAAAGCTGGCATTCATATTACTTATCCCTCCACAATTACTGCCAAGAGGCATATTACTCGACTGTCGTGCACCCAGTACCTGGTAGTGTTGGTAGTGGGGATGTGGGTACATCGGTCTGAGTGAAGTTGAAGTTTATGCGGAATCCAGCATCAGTTACGGAACCGTCACTTGTGAAGACGATTTGGAAATGTCCATCAGTACCTGTGGAAGCATACACGTATCTTACTGACACAATAAAAAGAAATCTGTTATCTTTTAAGAACGAAAAACAGAAACTAATCAGTTCTTTTTGAGAGACTGCTAATAACCAGTAGAGTGATAACATTGACTTCATATCCTGGAGGCAAGCCAAATCATTTCGACCTCGAGGAACACGAGCCAGCACACGTGATGTGTGGGTATCTGTCTAGAGGAATATTGCTATGTCACACGTGATTCTAGGGACACGAGACAGGCAGGATACTGATATGTCACACGTGCTTCTAGAGACATGAGACAGGCAGGTTACTGATATGTCACACGTGCTTCTAGAGACATGAGACAGGCAGGTGTCTTCGACAACAAACGTGTTACTGTGACAGGATAACTGGAAATGTTGTTCATAGTTCATCCTTGTATACTACTCACTGTAGGTCTTCTCTTCCACGTTTGTTCCACACAGCTTGTCTCCTTCCATGTCCACGGCGTCGTATCGGCAGCTGCTGCTTGACTCAACGTCAAACAGTGGGAAGCTGAAGGCAAGTTCTCCAGGACCAGGGGTGTTGATGGTGTAGGTGCAGTACATGTTGTTCTCGTAGCCACCGGGTAGTGACTCAAAGGTTCCGGATGGGGCGTTAATAGTTGCATTGCAGTAGACTGAAACAGGAGAAAATGAAGCATTGACTATTGTGAACTGATGCAAAAATAATTATGCCATTATAATGGCTCCAGGAGGTTCTAAAAAACAAAGAATGTTTAATAGAAAACTAGTTGTGTTGTTCTAACCATATGACAAGCCAAACGAAGACATTATGTGCATATTATTGACGTTGTTTGTTGTTTATCCTCGCAATCAGCAACAGTAATGGCAATCGAATCTCGACAATCCAGTCACAGACATCAGGAGAATCGATTAGTTCCGAATCTTCACTGGTTGATGTTCATGTTAAACAATACAATGCACCTGAAAACCTTAGAAATGGCACATGTGAATATCTGATATTGCATACAAGCATACGTACCTATTTCAGTGACATATTCAAAGGAGAAACCGCTGCGCACAACACTTCCGTCACTGGTAAATGTCATGTCAACTGATTGCCCGGTGTCTGCAAAACAGTAAAATGTATGGGAAACATGTCACTGTCATAGTCTCTCTGAATGTCCTCGAACTGAGACTTAATGATCAGCTTAATATATATATTTAAGGGACCCATGAAGACATTATTTACAGCTCCAAAATGTGTCATTACATGCCACACAGACATCTAAGACGTTGTTGTGTTTTCCTACAGCAAACACCGCTGATTAACCGCTGATGTAAGCCGTGGGAGGGACATGCACTACACCACTTACGTGGACATGAGTTGGAAGCAAGAGAACTGCGTGAGGTAAGTGGATGTGTATCAGCACACAGCAGGTTTGTTACAGGCATGAAATGAGAAACCACCATTTCTCCAAGCATTTTTGTTACGTAGCCAGAAAGCGATGTACACCAACAGTGCTCCTCAAGGATAATCCACTGAAACCGCTTGAGAGCCTCAGCACGAAAGCTTTTGGTTTACTGCATATGTTCATAGGTTAAAGCATAGATTCATAGGTTACTTAGCACATCAAGACCTCTTACATTGTCTGGTAAAGGATTCTTCGGTTCCACACAGGTTCTCTGTGCCCTCGTCACTTGTTATAGTTAAGCTGTCATAGTCGCAGCCCGTATCGTCCTCGAGGTCAAAACGGGTAAAGTTGACAGTGGTGATGTGAGGGGTGGTGGGAGAGCGGATAGTTATGTCACATTGTTGGTTGTTTTCATATTGTCCATCGGAATCAGTGGGCAGGGTATAGCTTCCTACAAGATCATCAATATCGAGGTTGCAGCCTGAAATTTTGGAAAAAAATTATAAGTTGCTTCCGTATCTGAATATGTTGGAATGTTATTGAAAACCTGTTATTGAAATACAAACGTAATTATACATGAATTTCTTCGTTGAACTGGCACGTAGTTGACTGACAATGAAAGCTATTCATGCTATACATGTATATTTTCAACTCTTGACCAGGCCCACCCTCTTGTTTGCCCCACCATCCTAGAAGTGGTAAGTACATGACTCGTAAATAAAGGACAACCGAAAGTCCAGACCCCTTAAATGCGTCATGCTCATTCTGTACACAGCTGTCTCCCATGCCTTATTTGCAACTCCAGCTTGCACGTCCCTGCGAGTTACGGTCACGATGGTATGCTATCTGAATAACCGACCTCATAAATGTGGTTCCAACGCGCAAAAGACGTGAAGCTGTCAGAATGTCCGAACAACCGTTTCTGTGCCCTTCTGTTAGAGTTGTATTCATACAGACGAAGATCTGCAGAACCATTTTATGGACCGTTACATCACCCTCCGAGATTGGATGCACAAGTATTCTTTGCTGCACACATAGTGAACATCAATCCTTTCAAACAACTGCTGTCACTTCGCTAGTGGATTCTGACTCATTAACCCTGTTCTGACACTGGAGTATATGTGAAAGGATTTATGTTTTGACCACTGCAAGTTGTACTCACTGTCATCTGCGCTAGGGAGACCTGTAGCGTTCACGGTTGTATTCACTGTCAAGCCAACAGAAATATAATACATATGAACAACAGCGAGGCCACATTCGATTTCATAGAAATTGTTGGTGAATTTATAATAATATAGAGCAATGCTCACACGAAAGAAGTCATAATTACTTCACGTCGTAATATTTCACTTTTCGGACACAATTTAGAGTGAGTGAGTTCAGCTATCTGTAAATAATCGTGTCTGAGCATCGATCGACCCAGTTGGGATACTATGACAGGTGTCAACCAAGTCAGCACACCTGGCCTCCCGATCCCGTTAGTCGCCTCTTACAACAAGCATGGGTTAGTTAATATCAATTCTAACCCGGATTTTCACGGGTTTTGGACACAACAATTTTAGGCAAGAACTACGATTGTTAAAGAAGGCTTTGATTGACACAGGTTTGAAGCTTCTGTTGTTAGCTTGCATTCAGTTACACAGTACACGTGGAGTACCTGGTAGAGTTGTGGCTTGTGTGGAATTAGGTGACATCGTTGAGTTGAAGATAGGATCTACTGGATATAGACAATAGCATTACACATGAAGAACAGTTACAACAAATGTATAGTGTCGGTATGGATGCATGTACTCTGGTTGTATGTCAGCCTCATGTCTCATGCTATTTGTGTAGTGTCTGGGCTATCTTGACACCGTGCTGCTTCCGGAATATAACCATATCTAATGGTGACGTGCACATACAACATTATCATGATAGGAAAGGATATGTTTACTTCACAGCTTAATGTTAGATTTCAATTCTGGGAAACATTTTGTTCACAAGGAGGACAATGATTGAAGAGCACTAAGTTCACCGTAAGACAGAAAAACGTGGACTACCTGGTAGCGTAAAATTAGGTGATATGGTTGCGTTAAAGATGTACACTGGAAAGGGTGTAGTCACATCAAAGCCAACCTCTCGAACTGCAAGGCGTGACAAACAAAATGTTAACATAATTAGAACACGAACTACCAGAAACCAGAATGTACTATTGTCAACCTAATGCCTAAGGCTGTAGGTGCGCTCCAGGCGTTTCTTCGAAATAACGCTGCGAATCAAGGTTCCTCATGATTTCCTTTATATATCACTGCAGCTAAGCGTATTATTTGTTACTGGCATAAACTTAATAATCCTGGAATGCAGCAGAAATTATCAAAACTGATCAACAATTATGCATATGCACAAGGTATCTTTGAGAATGATTTTGATCCCTGGATGCATCATATTAAATCTTTATTAGATAAATCTGGCTTATCTTTTGTATTCTATAACCCTGTAAGCGTACCATGCCAATGGCTAGTTTCACAAGTGGAGACTGTATTAAAAGACCAGTTCCAACAAAGTTGGAAAGTTGATATTAAAAATAGCTCTAAGGGATTTTACTATAAACATATTAAAGATACTCCCATGTTTGAAAACTATCTTCTCTTCCCAGCTTATATTTACTATCCTATTTTGAAATACAGAACCTGTAATCACAATCTCCCGGTAGAAACTGGTCGTTGGCATGGTATCGCTAGAAAATACATAACATGAAAACTTTGCAATTCACCAGCAATAGGCGACGAATTTCATTACTTATTTAAATGTGAAGTCCTTACAGATATTAGATTGAAATATTTACCAACTAGACATATATACTTCCCCAATTTATCAAAATTGAAGAAAATATTTAATAGTAGAAATTTTAAAGAAATAAGAAATCTATCCAAATATCTGCTAGTATT